CTCAACCTGCTCGGCCATTACCACGGCCCAACTCCAGATCATAAATCACCCTCTCAATTCCAAAGGCACATCTTTCAAAATATTTTTCAAAATTACACAAAACTAAATTCAAAATTTAATTTCAAAACTCAAAACCAAACACACAATACAAAACTCAATTCAAAACTCTTTTGATGATATAGTGTTGAAGATGGTTAGTAATGTGATTGTTAAATTATTTTTATAAAAAATCTAATTTTTTTTCTCTATATTTAAAAAAGAGTAATGATTGAGACTCTCGCCCTCACAAGATTCCACAAATCTGGACCACTCATGATGTGGACCCCACATATATATGAGTGGGCTCCACACATACATGGAGGGCTATGATCACTTTGGGGGTGTGACGGTCATCCCCAAAGGGGGTCCCAAATATTTCCATTTAAAAAATGTCTAAAACAAATATATATATTTTTTTCAAATAACAAGTTGCAATTGCACAAAAAAAAAGAAAAAGAAAAAAAAGAAAGAGTTTTATAATGTCTAAAACAAATATAATTTTTTTTAAAACACTTTTCAAAACTCATCTTACAATTCCACACTCAAATCACAACTCCAAAAAAAGAATCACAATTCTAAAATTAAACCAAATACACCCCAAAATTTATTTGGTTTTGAATTTTTAAAATTAGTTTTGCAAAAGAGTTTTTTTTGAGTCATGTGTTTATTTTGTCTTGTAGGCAAAACCTTTTTTTATAATATTATAGTTAATTTTATTTACTATTTTTACATACTTAATCTAAATTTACTTTCTAAATGCATTTAATTTAGTTCAATCCGTATATATTAATTCTTATGAATCTTTTTTAAATTGTAACATTTTTTTCTAGCCACCACACCACCCGAACGCCTTTTATCATTAAGAATCACCTGATTGCGATGAGTCCAAAGGCACCAGCAAATCACAAAGAAAAGTTAACCACTTGTCGAATCAAAACCCGATGACAAATCCACTATCCATTCAAACACCTCAACGACATTCCAACACTGCAGATAGGCTACTAGACTCCCAAACCTCCCTAGAAAACTCACAACAAAAAATATAGTGATAAACTGATTCTGCCGCTAAATGACACAACTCATAAACATCATCAGTCAACACTTGCAAATTGGATCGCACTGGCAAATTGCACTCCTCTCTTTCGAAGATCTATCTCAAGATGATATGCCGACTTAATAAAAAAGTGCCCATTTTTAGTGTAATGCCACACTAATGAATCCTCCGACCGATGTGGATAGATCGGAATTGTTTGAATTAATTCTATTTCAGAAGGTGGGAAACACTCTTCTATTCGAATAGCATCCCATATCCCGGCATCTCTATCAATAAGCACACACCCGCTCATGCTCCTCCAACCCATTCCGCGATGAACAAATCATGAATGAAGATGGCCGAGGCACCCATCTATCTTTCCAAATTTGGACGTTTTTCTCATCACCAATACGCCACCGTAGCCTTTCCGAAAGCAAATTGTGAGCGTTCCGTATACTCCTCCAAGTAAAGAAAGGGTTCGCTCCCAATAGAGCATCCAAAACCGAAGACTTCGGTGGTGTTTGTTTTGAAGGATTAGGCTATGGGATTGGACTAGTAGTCCCACTGCATTAATAGTCCGTTGTTTGGTTCAATTTTTTTGCTCCAGACTAATAGTCTCTCATATGAGGGATTATTGTATCCTAGGGGGCGGTGGGATATCATATGAGATTAATGTGTGAAATGTTCATTTTACCATCATACTATTACTTAGTAAACAATTGAAAAAGGATAAAATAGTCTTTTGAATATTTATAAATTATTTTTTTAGTGTTGTTAATTTAAAATAATAAATTAAAAATTATGACCTTATAAATTAATTTTTTTTAGTGTTGTTAAAAAATTAAATTTATATATTAAATAAAACTATTTTTTTAGTATTGTTAATTTAAAATTATATATTGAATAAAAAATATAAATTATAAATTTAATTTAATTGAAAATAATAAATTATAAATTATGGCCTTATAAATTAAAATTTTTTAGTGTTGTTAAATTATAAATTATAAATTATAGATTATAAATTTAAAATTATATATTAAATAAAAATTTAAAATTACAAGGGTAAAATAGTCTTTTGAACATTTATTCTTATTTAGTCCGTCCAACTAAACATTAGATTCATTAAAAATAATCAAATCCAGACATTTAATCACACGACCAAACAAACATAGGATACAAATCTAGTCCAACCAAATAGTCCGGGGACAATGTATCCCAGGACTAACAGTCCGATGAATTACAATCTCCCTTATCCAGTCCGTCCAAACAAACATGCCTAAGATAGTATTTTGCCTTCAATAGTTGTGCCACCAGACTATTAGGAAACTTGAGGAGCCTCTAGCATTGTCTAGCAAACAAAGCTCTATTAAAAGCTGACAAAGACGTGAATCCATCCCACTCTCTTGTTTAGCTTTGCATAACCAATTCCAATTTCGCCAATGGATTTTCTACTTATCCTCTATTTGTCCCCATCCAAACCATGCAATAAGAGCATTCATATTACATGTGCATTTGATTTTTATCAAGAGCTAATTGGGATTCCGGGTCGAGTAAGTGTGCTAACGGTTGTGAAGTTTCAGGTTTGGTGGTGGCCTCCACCGGAAGGAATTTTCAAGATAAATTTTGACGGTGTGCATGCTTTGTGTCGAAAGGATTGGAGCAATAGTGCGAAACCATCATGGGGAGGTTCTTGTTGCAATGTCGATGAAATTAACATCTACAATGGGAGTGGACTGTTTTGAAACACTTGATGTGTTGCACTTGGTCCAGTTATCATGCCATTTGGGTCTGCATTATGTCATTCTTGAAGCTGATTCTTTATCGCGGTTCAAGCTCTACAATCTCCCATTTGGGTCTGCATTATGTCATTCTTGAAGTTGATTCTTTATCGTGGTTCAAGCTCTACAATCTCCGATAGAGCAGCTTTCTTCCTTCGACCGTTTGTTGGCATCCACTCAGTCGGGGTTGCGGAGGTTTCGATCATGGGAAGTGGCATACGTTAAATGGGAGGTAATTCCATTGCGCATTGTCTCGCTCTGATGGTAGTTGAGTTGAGTAGTTGTACTATTTGGATGGAGGAGGCCCCTTCATTGCTATAGTCTTAATTTGGTTAATCCTGAAGCTTCGTTGGTTTAGGGGTTGTTTGGGATGACTTAAATAAGTACATTTTTTGTCTTTTTACGAAAAGATGTGCAAAAAAGTAGAGAAGTGATGTGATAGAAAAAAGATAAAAAGATGGATTATTTTGGTGTTGCCAAACTTGGCCTTAATTTGTTTTGGATTGGTGGATTTTGTCAACGCCCCTCGTAATAAAATTTTAATACAAGTCTAAAAAGTTTTTATTAAAAAATTCAACAGTACTACTATTATCCAAAATATTAAATTTTAAAATAATATAATTTTTGATTTAGATATTGATTTTTAATAAAATTAGTATTTTTAAAATTCTCTAATAAAAAATCTATCAAACAAGATCTATATTGACTATGAAATTCTTAAAAAAAAAAAAATTATTACAGTCGAAATTCATGTAAACAGTAACATGTTACTCTGACAATATTGTCTAAAAAAATATATATTTTATTTTTCCATACTCAATTATGCCCTCCTCTTTAGGGGGTTTATGAAGCAAAATAAATAGGGCTGTCATTTTCACCAAACAAGAGTCCAATAGAGGGGTTTTGGCTAAATTTTATTTTTTTGAATTCTATGTCTTACTCTCTAAAAAAAACACCTTTTCTGTTTTATATCTACTCAATCTATATGCATTTAAAATGTTTCATATATATATATATATATATATATATAATTATTGAATAATGAGAAATATAAAAATAAAAAAATGTTTGATCCAGTTTAAAAATTAATACAATTTTAATGTTGTATGTATTTATTAAATTTATTTTTAATTTCTTCATATTTTGCTTAATGTTTAAGTATATGTAGATAATATATATCTAAACATAAGAAGAGAGGAAAGAGAGACAAAGAAAGAAAGCTGGTAGGGCTATTAAAGAAAACCTTTGGTCTGAGTTTTCTGAATTCATTTTTCAGGAAATTAAAATTTTTTATTTTTCATATATATATATTTTTTGTTTTCAATGAATTTTTTTAATAATGTAAGTAATTTTTAAAATTTTTAGATATACCTAACTTAAGCACACTTAAAAAGTATAATATTTGTAAAAAAAAATCTTTAAAAAATTCACTAAATACCAAAAATACAAAAAAAATACGAAAATTTAATATATTTTTGCATTCTGGTATATTTATTGATTTTTTAAAATATTTTTTTTACAAATATTTTTACTTTTTAGATATATCTAAATAAGGTGAATCTAAAAAAGTAAAAAAAATTACTTAAAACTTTAAAAATATTAACTAAAAACAAAAAAAAAAAACACAAAAAATAAAAAACTCAATTTCTAAAAAACTGAATTCAAAAAATTGAAACCAAATACAGTAAATAGGTTTTTTGATTTTAAGTTTTGAGTTCAAATAGATTTTGAAATGTATTTTTGAAAACCCAAAACCAAATGGAAAATTAAGGTCAAGTTTGGCAAGTTGAAAAAAAGTTAAAAAGTCAAAAAGTTACTTAAAAAGTTAAAAAGTTATCACTATTCACCAAAAGTCAAAAATTACGGCTGCACAACTTTTAATCCTAATTTTTTCCTATACACTAATTTATACAATTTTTTAATGCACATTTTTTCATAAAAAGTCAAAAAGTTAACCTAAACATTCATATTTTTTTTTCTCAATTTTTTAGTCAAAAAAAGACAAAAAGTATACTTGTTTAAGACACCCCAAACAACCCCTAAATTCAAAAAGTAAGCCAAACGGAGTGCAAGCCTCACATTTATTTCAAAGTAGGGGCCAAAACATAATTCCCATTAACTTTAGGGAGTAGAGAGAATTAAGGGACGGAAGAGGAACTCCGAATCTATCTCTAACAAATTACTTCGTGCTCTTCTCACGATCTCCTCCATATGTGCATGTGTGTGTGTGTGTGTCTCTCTCTCTCTCTCTCTGATAAATTAATAAATGCATAACTCAGAATAGAGAGTCTTGTAGATTCGTCGTCGTCACAAAAACAAAATCAACTCGCGGGAGAATCTGAGGAAAGCGTGTTCTTATGTTGAAATGCTAAATTCAGAGGTAAAAAGTGTCTAATTTATTTTAAATTTTGAATCCTCTTTTTTTTTTTTCTTCATTTCTTGGTCGGAATGTGGAAATCCATGATCTAGATCTCCAAAGACACAGCATTGGGATCGAAGATTGATGCGGGAGTAAGTGATTTATGGCCATTCTGCATTAATTTAATGTCTATCTCTTAGGAAATGGAAATTGCATTATTAATATATATGTATGTATATATATATATATATATAGCATAGCAATTGGTTTGTTACTCATGTTTTTATGCATTGCATTCTCGGATGTTTTTGAATGCACGATCCAATCTGTATCAACCTTTAGAAGTTGTTAATTAATGCAGTGTGGAGAACCCAGATGATATTGGATTTCATTCTTCTTCATTAGAATGTTGAAGATCAGGTATTATTAGGTAGGACTTGGGCTTGCATTGTGTTTGATTGGGAGGCTATACTATATACTATATATAGGCTCAGGGGTAAAAGTTACCAAGTATGTTGGAAAGCTTTTTGTCCATTTTGAAAGATCAATTTACCTAACTAATTTGATTCATTTGCATTTCTGTTTGGAATATAAGAGTATGACTCATTTCTGGGTACTATTTTTTCTTACAAATTATTGGACAAGACTCAGAATAATTATTATTCACAGGAATATTCATCACTAAACGTGACATAGTGTATTATGCACCCATAAAAGAAGAAGAAGGATCTGGGGGTAGACTTTTAGTACATATAAAGGGACTCCTTTATGCATAGTTTTGATTCTCTCTCCATCCCTCTGTGTTTGTTTTTCAGTGGATGTTTGTAGGCAGAATTCATACATCATACTTACATTTTTTCTTCTCTTAGCGAGGCTGGAGTCCTAATTTTTCAAATCGCATTATAAATTCCTCTTCACATTAACGCTCCATTTGTTTGGACAGAAAACATTTTATAGAAAATATTTTATTTATTTTCTGGTATTTGGTACAATGGAAAACGAAAGTCAACAAAAAATATTTTCCATGGTCAACAAAAAATAAACCTATTTGGGCAGAAATGTTTTACACTTTGAAAAGGCGAAAAACGTTTTTTGGACTAAAATCTTACCAATGTCACCTTACTACTACCACCTCCATTCTCACATCCACCACCACACCACCATTACCACGGCCACTACCCCCATCAGTGTTGCCATCACTGCCACCACCACCCTCACCTTTTCCTCAAACTTTATCCTACCACCACCACCACCACCAAACATAGAAAAATGTTTTCATTCGAAAACATTTTATGGAAAGAGTTTTTTGTAAAAAATGATTTCCGTTAGAAAAAGTTTTATGCCCAAACAAACAAAGCATAAATAAGTTATCTATTACTATGAGAGAGGTAGGTGCTAAGAAGTATGGACACGGACATGCGACAAGACACGAATAGGTCAAACTTTATCCTACCACCACCACCACCACCAAACATAGAAAAATGTTTTCATTCGAAAACATTTTATGGAAAGAGTTTTTTGTAAAAAATGTTTTCCGTTAGAAAAAGTTTTATGCCCAAACAAACAAAGCATAAATAAGTTATCTATTACTATGAGAAAGGTAGGTGCTAAGAAGTATGGACACGGACATGCGACAAGACATGAATACGATTTGGACACGCCGAAACATCAATTTTCAAAAAATATAGGACACGACACGTGGGGGACATATATGAAATATATACTTTTATATATTTATTCTATGTTATATATATGAATATATCATTCAAATATAATAAAAAATGCAATATGACACTAATTCCTATAAATTTATATGGTTTTTGTTTTATCATTGTATCTTAAATTGTTTTGTTCAAACTTATAATTAGTTTCACCTGTGTTTAATCGATAGATATGTGTATTTAAGCGATAGATACACGTGTTCTCCAAATGTTCGGGTCTTTAAAAAAAATTTAAAAATAGGACACATTTTGAAGAGTGTTAGACATGTGTCGGGGAAGTGTCCAAAGAGTGTCGGTGTCCGACACGGATACGTCACATTCTTAGAAGTGTCCTTTTTAGGGTAGGTGTAGAGCACAATTTAGAGGTGCATAACTCTTTTCCACATCTCTCTCTTGCCTTCTCTGTGTGTGTGTGTTATGGCACTAAAGTTTGGTTTGGTTTGGTTTCAACTTAAACCCTATTAAGGTGACGGTGCCCTGACGCTTATATGTTTAATATTACATCTGTACTCAGACGTTGTGGGACTTCACTTTCACACCCTCCCTCATGCCTAGCCTGCTCACTTAGTAGCACTTGCGGCGTGCAGGCAAGGGACACGCACCCTACCCATCTCTAAGTACTCTGGCTCTGATACCAAGTTACACGGTCTTGGGTAGAACTCACCGCAAAAATTCGCTATTAAGGTGAGGGTGCCCTCACGCTTATATGCTTAATATTACTTCAGTACTCAGGCAATGTGGGACTTCGCTTTATACACATACCCTAGTGCATATGTTGTTTGTGTGTCTTTTTTTTTATTTTTTATTTTTTATTTTTTTATAATTTGTGAGTTTCATGAAAATTAATACTACACCAGAATTTCATCTTGTTAAATTGATTAAAAGTCGTTATTATATTAGATTATAATTCATTGAGCCTCATGAGATATCTTAAATATGAAATGAATCGCCAAGGACATTATTAGAACTATGCACAGATGTCAACTCATACTTGGATTAAATGATATGTTAGCAAGCAAACTTTTATTATTATAAGCATTAGCGAGGCCTTATGCAACCACAATCATTTTCTTTTGATCAATGGTTATGGGCTACATGGTGAATGGTAGCCCCACACCCATAAATCCACCCAACATGGATGTAGGCAAGACTTGTTACCACCACTGAGAGACTCTCCTTTATGGTCTTTGTTGGTATTATTGTCTTTTCTATTGCCTTATTCACATAAAATTTGAATAGCATGCTTTATAAAATTTGAAGACATGTATCTGATGTGACGCTTTATGGTTTAAATTTTTGAAATCACTACAGGAAGAGGAACTAATCGTTCATGGAAGGTCGGAATATGAAAAGGGAAATGTGGAAGGTGCTCTTTCTGCATTTGATGGAATTGATCTCCACGCGGCTGTACAGGAGCTGCAACCTCTTGCTGAAAAACAGCCCTCAAAGAAGGGTCGTCCAAGCAATGAATCCGTCCACTCATCATCACAGCAAGCTGCTAGCCTGGTGCTTGAGGCTTTATATTTAAAAGCCAAGTCTCTTCAAAAGCTTGGGAGGGTAACTGGTATGGAACTTTTCCACTATCTTATTATACGCTTCCTTGGAGATTGACTTTCCTTTTGGTTCTTCTCTCCTGCTCCCCTTTTTTTCTTTTATCTTTTATTTTGTGTATGTTTATCTACAAAACATTCTTTTGATGTGGTTTTTATAGAGGCTGCTAATGAGTGTAAAAGTGTGCTTGATGCGGTGGAGAAGATATTTTATCATGGCATTGCTGATGTGTTAGTGGACAATAAGTTGCAAGAGATAGTTAGCGGTGCTGTAGAGCTCCTTCCAGAGCTTTGGAAGCTGGATGGCAGAAATCATGAAGCAATGTCTGCTTATCGACGAGCCCTCCTTAGTCAGTGGAATCTTGACAATGACTGCTGTGCAAGGATCCAGAAGGGATTTGCTAGCTTTTTGCTGTACAGTGGAGTGGAGGTTGGCCCACCTAGTTTAGCTGTTCAAATTGACGGATCATATGTACCTAGAAACAATCTGGAAGAGGCAATTTTACTTCTGATGATTCTTATGAGAAAGTTTTACCTAGGTAAGACTAAATGGGATCCATCAGTGATGGAGCACCTTACTTTTGCTCTATCTCTGTGCAGCCAGACTTCTGTTCTAGCAAAACAACTTGAAGAGATCATGCCTGGAGTATTTAATCGTGTTAACCGTTGGAAAGCCATGGCACTGTGCTACAATGGAGCTGGACAAAACAAGGTTGCCTTGAATCTATTGAGGAAGTCTCTACACAAACATGAAAAACCAGATGATCTTACGTCTTTGTTGTTGGCTGCCAAAATATGCAGCGAGGATGCCCTTCTTGCTGCCGAGGGAGTGGGATATGCACAAAGGGCAATTTTGCATGCGCAGGGGCTAAATGAACATCTAAAAGGTGTCGGTCTTTGCATGTTAGGTCTTTGTTTGGGGAAGCTAGCCAAAGTCTCTTCTTCAGATCACGAGAGGTCTCGTCTTCAGACTGATGCATTAAAATCATTAGATGAAGCAATTGTTCTTGAGTGTAACAATTTTGACTTGATTTTTGAGTTGGGAGTTCAATATGCAGAGCGCTGGAATTTGAATGCTGCTTTGCGGTATGCCAAGCAATTCATTGATGCCACAGGTGGATCCATACTAAAAGGTTGGAGATTGCTTGCATTGATTTTGTCTGCTCAACAACGTTTTTCAGAGGCTGAAGTGGTCACTGATGCTGCTTTAGATGAGACTGCAAAATGGGAGCAAGGGCCACTGCTTAGGATGAAAGCAAAGCTGAAAATTTCCCAGTCAATACCCATGGGTGCAATTGAAACTTACCGTTACCTCCTGGCATTGGTTCAAGCCCAAAGGAAATCATTTGGGCCTCTCCGAAATCTACCTCAGGTTATATTCTGATTCATTTTTAGATGAAAATTATTATTTTGATCTCACCTGAATGAACACCATTGTGTATTTTATCAAAATCAGTTGTGACAATGGCAATATCATGATCTTGTAAAATTACCTAAGAAAACTAGCCCTCCAAATTATTTTATTTTTGATCGATGATAAATTTAATGGTGTTCGAGTGAAGGAACTTTTACATTCTATAAATTTTATATTTTATAATTATTTTGTGTGTTGAATTCTTTATCTTTAGGGGTTGTCACTGGTTGTTGGATCCTTCTCCCCCTTGTCAAACACTGCATTTCAAAAACTAAAGAAAGTGCTACAAAATTATTGTACTAGTATGTGGTGCCTTGGAGCTATTTTTTTGAGAAGAAACTAGTACATGTGGTTTTGTCATGTTCTGGATGAAGGAAAGTGGATTTGCTTGAAATAATGATTTACCTGTATAGCAATTTACTGATGACTAGTGGTTGCTATAAAATGCAATTGTTTCTTCGTATTTGCGTGTTTAGTTGACTGGAACACAAGGCTTAATGTGACATGTTTTGGTTATTTGCTTCTTCATTTCAAAATTCATATCATGGTTGGATTTGCTGTGCTTTTATCTTTTGATTGATCATTACTTAGTGAACTAGTATATCATGATGAAAGAATTTTGATTTCACATTTGATGAATTGCATTAGGATGGTGTCTAGATTAGAAAGAAGGCATTTCATATTTCAATTTAAAGAAGCAATTTTTAGGGGAGAAATTTCCTTGGCTCAAAAAGCTAAAATTAAGTGGTTGAAGGAGGGGCATAATAATCCTAAATTGTTTCAAAAATTGCAAACAGTATACAAAAGAGGAAGCTTATTAAAAGATTGAAAGTTGGAGTGGGCTTGTTTGTGGAAACGGAGGTTAAATTGTTGATGTGTTTTTTTTTTTCTTTTTTTATATAACTCGGTATCTGGATAATTGGATCAACTAATTTGGGGGACCAATCCCACCGCCCATTTGTTCAGGTCCTAATTAAAGCCATCGCAAAAGCTCTGCATAGACTTGTCTTAAGAAATTGTTTGCACCTAAGATGTTTCGAACCTGAGACATTGGTAAGCTAAATAGATGGGATTCTCAATAGGATGGGGGAAAGTTTTGATCTCCTTGGAAATCCATTCTCATAATTTATTTTTTCCCTAGACATTTTGGTATTGTTGTGGGTAATATGGACAATATTTGTTTTTGGAAAGATGTTTAGAAGGGAGAGGCTTATTTTGCTATTTTATTTCCTTGCTTGTATGGTTATTTTTGTCTTGTGTTGCTTTAAATGCTTCTATGATTTTGTCCTATTTTTTTCTGTCACATGGGACTTCAACTTTTCTTGAAATCTTAATGATTAAGAAACATTTGAGTTAGTTTCTCTGTTGTCCATTCTTAATGATATTTCTTTGAGACGGGAGGCCAATGATAGGATAGGAGAACATGACCTATTCATTCTTTAGGGGTTTTTTTGGTAAATTATGATGGTAGTCCCTCTATTTTGGTTCTTGTGTCATTTTGGTCCCTGTAATTTCAATTAGTTCGATTTTGACTTTGAATTTATGATTTTGTCTCGATTCGGTCCAATTGATTACAACTCTTAACATTTTTTTTTTTTGAAAAATACAAACATAAGTGGCATATGTCATGTTTTAAAGACAAAATTATAAACTTACAAAACTTAGTGAGTTAACCTTAATCAATTTAGTGCTAATTTTCTATCAAAAACACTGACGTCATTATTAATTGGACCAAACTGACACAAAATCTCAAATGAAGGGTTAAATTTGAGCCAATTGAAAGTCTAAGGAAACTAAGTGAACGGGTGAGAAAGCTAGGAAAATTAAGGGTACCAATTTTAAATTGTATTATAGTGGCAAGGATAGACACAGGAATGTGGTAGGAATAATAGTTGCCAAGGGTCTTATGGAAAATGTAGTTGCGGTCATTAGGAAAGGTGATAGGATAATCTTAGTTAAACTAGTTATTGAAGGGAATATAGTGAACGTTATTGGTGCATACGGCCTTCAAGTAGGCTTAGATGATCAGACTAAGAGGGATTTTTGGGAGCAAATGGATGAGATATTACAGGAAATACCCGTATGAGAGAACCTAGTTATAGGTGGAGATTTCAACGGCCATGTAGGAATAGATAAACTAGGTTATCAGAGGGTGCATGGTGGATATGGTTTTGGTTATAGAAATGAGGCTAGAGAGAATATTTTAGATTTTGCGTTGACTTTTGACCTGGTGGTGGCCAATAATATGTATAAGAAGAGGGAGGAGCATTTGATAACCTTTAAGAGTGGGTCAGTTAAGAGCCAAATAGATTACTTTTTAGTGAGAAAAGTGGACTGTCTAAAATGTAGTGACTGTAAGGTAATTCCTGAAGAGAGCATGACGTCTCAATATAGGATTTTGGTACTAAATTTATGCTTTAAAGGGCAATACCAAGCTAGGAAGGATAGTGGGTGTCGTAGGACGAGATGGTGGAACCTAAAAGGGAATTAACTAGAAATATTTAAGAATAGAATGGATAAAGAGGGTACTTGGGATTTGGAAGATGATGCTAACACTATGTGGAACTCGATGGCCAATTGTATGAGGAGAATCTCAAGAGAAATTCTTGGAGAGTCGAAAGGAAAGGGACCCAACTCTAGGGAAACTTGGTGGTGGAGGGGAGGAGATTCAAGCGGTAGTTAAGGTGAAAAAAGAGTACTTTAAAAAGTAGCAGAAGAATAGAATTGAGGAAAACCTTAAAAGCTATAGATTGGCTAATAAGGATGTCAAAAAAGTAGTGGGAGAGGCTAAGTTGAAAGCTTATGATGACCTATACACTAGACTAGATAATAAGGAGAGAGAGAGAGAGAGAAAATGGTATACAAACTTGCTAAGATAAGAGAGAAGAAAACAAGAGATTTTAATCAGGTTAAGTGCATCAAGAGTGAGGATTTTAAGGTATTGGTGAAGGATGAAGAGATTAATGAGAGGTGGAGGAACTATTTTAAGAAGCTGTTAAATGAGAAACACGGAGGTAGGTCAATAGGGGAGGAAGTTGCCAGTAATAAGGAAAACTAAGATTATAGGTTCTATTGCAGGATTAGGAACTTTGAAGTGGAGATTGCACTTAAGAAGATGAAATCGAATAAGGCTTTAAGACCCAATGATATCCTTATTGAAGCGTGAAAGTGTTTGCGTAAGAAGGGGGTTGCTTGGTTGACTAGGTTATTTAGCAAGATTTTGTTGACTAGGAACATGCCAGATGAGTGGAGGGAGTATTTTAGTGCCCATCTATAAGAATAAAGAAGATACTCAGAATTGCAACAACTATAGAGAAATCAAGCTAATGTGTCATATAATGAAAGTGTGGAAGAGAGTGATGGAATGTCGATTGCGAGATATAGTAGAGGTGTTAGAGAATCAATTTGGGTTTATGCCTGGTAGGTCAACTATAGAAGCAATCTATCTTTTGAGGACAATAATAAAAAAGTATAGAGAAAAGAAAAGAGACATTCATATGATTTTTATTGATCTTGAGAAAGCTTATGGTATAGTACCTCGGGATATAATCTGGTAGGTGTTAGAGAACAAAGGGGTGACAAAACGTTACATTGATGTGATTAGGGACATGTATGAAGGGGTGGTGACCACTATTAGATTGCCTGCTAGAGAGACAAATGAATTCCCAATCATTGTAGGGTTACACCAAGGATCAACCTTAAGTCTTTATCTTTTTGCTTTAGTTATGGACAAATTGAAGAGAAATATTCAGGATGATGTGCCGTGGTGTATACTTTTTGCAGATGATATCGTGTTAGTGGATGAGACTAGAGAATGAGTTAACACAAAGTTGGAGATTTGAAGAGAACCACTTGAATTTAAAGGATTTTGGATAAGCAGAACTAAGACATAGTACACGGAGTGTAAATTTAGTAAAAGTAACAATGAAAGTAGAGGAGAAGTGAAGATTGAGAACCAAGAACTACTTAAAAGTGGACATTTTTGTTATTTATGATTGATTATTGCAACGACGAGAGAGATTGGAGCGGATGTGGTTTATAGAATTAAGGTAGGGTGGTTTAAGTGGAGAAATGTGTCTGGGGTACTATGTGATAAACGAGTACCCACTAGACTAAAAGGAAAGTTCTATAGAACGGCTATTAGACCAATTATGTTTTATGAGACGGCGTGTTGGGGCAACTAAGAAACAACATGTAAATAAGATGAGTGTTGCTGAGATGATGATCCTAAGGTGGATGTGTGGTAAGACTAGAAAAGATAGAATTAGGAATGAGTATATTCGAGAATGGGTAGGAGTAGCACCGATAGAAGATAAGTTGAGAGAGAATAGATTGAGATGGTTTAGTCATATTCAACGGAGACCAACAGAGGCAGTAGTGAAGAGATGCGATGTAATGATGGTAGATGAAAGTGTTAGGGGACGGGGTAGACCTTGATTGACGTTGGCTAGCGTAATAAATAGAGATATGAATATACTTAATTTGACTAACGAAATGGCCTTTGATAGAGCCGAATGGAGAAAAAGGATTCATGTAACCGACCCATTTGATGGGACTTAAGGCTTGGTTTGGTTTGGTTTATTGATGATCATAATTTTCCATTTTTTATCCCCATAAAATAATTTGGGGAGAAAATGTACCCCATAAAGTCAAAGTTTTTTTTTTCTTCCTTTTATATTGTTCACAAGAAACTTAATACTAATGACATTGTTCTGAGGATATTTGACTTCCTTTTGGGTGTCTGTTTCGACACCTTTTAAAGGGATTCCGTCATCTCTTATTAGCAGAGATTCCAGAGTTGTATGCTAGCTGCAATTATTTTTATTTTTATTTTTATTTTCTGTTGGACAATATCTTGTCCTTGTTATTGTCCTTGTACTTTATATTTTCTCTTTTAATGGCATTTCTCTTTTGTTGCTGTTCAAAAAATTAATACTCCTCCTTATGATAGATTGAGGATGATAAAGTTAATGAGTTTGAAGTTTGGCATGGTCTTGCGAAGTTATACTCCAGGCTTTCGCATTGGAAGGATGCAGAGATATGCTTGGGGAAAGCTAAAGAGCTCAATGAGTACTCTGCTGAAACATTGCACACAGAAGGTAAGACATGAAACTTTATATACTACGATGGTGAATATTTGGAGGGCGTATTTCTTATTATGTTCTTTGTCTTCTAATTTGCTACTTTTTGAATATTTTGCCTGCATGGTTCTTGTTTTCTACATTTGGGAAGTGCTTTAGACTACCAAACAAATTAGCTTATTCCAAAGGGTTGGAATCTGCTGTCATGTATTTTAGAAATTGAGGAATTAAGATATGATAGTTCATATTTTAAGTGAAGTGATACATGACAAGAAGAAGATACTGTATTTTTTTTTTTATATTGTGTGGAGTCTTAATGTTTTCTGGCATATTTCTTGTAACCTATTGAGGTGAAGACCTGTCTAAATCATTTATTTATCTGAATCTTCTTCAATTAGGTGTACAAGTGGTGGATTTCTATTTATGCATTTGACAACATGAATACGGTTAAACTCCATCTTTAGTTGTAACAATGGTAGATGGTATTTCATACATGTAATCATCTTAGAGAAACAAAATGAGCCATGACATGCCGGCATGTAACTGTGCTTGTACTTCTTGGTGATTTTGAGACATCTTGAATGGTAAATTGTAGTTGTTGTAAAATTTTAATAAAATGACATTAGTTTCACACGTAAAAATTTTAGGTGCCTTAACCTTCACATGTGCCTTATCTTGTACACATGGCTCAAAAGTAATAGACTGGGGTAGGGAGATGGTATGATCAATTATGGTCGTGTCAGCATGGCAAACTTTGAAGAAAGAAAGACAAGGATAGGGACGTGAGAGGACTACTACTTTGTGTTTTATGTATGAGGGAGGAGCTAAAATTACATATCCATACAATTATAATACTGATAGATCCATTTACAAATTATTAATAATATCTATAAAATAAAATAAAATTAAAAAGGGAAGGAAAAAAAAGAGCATCAGTCTGCATCTGGACAAAAAAAATTTGAAATGAAGGGAATTTGGGGTCTGACTTTGCATAACACATGTTAGAATTTGTTGTTGGAATTGGATTAAAGACCTAAGGGGCAGGGCAAGGTAGAGATATTTTATTAAAATTATGGATTTCTATTCATGCTTAAGCTCATTTGTATCTCAAAATTTTCTTCTCTCTCTCTCTCTCTCTCATTATGAGTAGATTGTTTGGATCTTTTGATTCACTGTGCTTGTGTGTATGCATATACATATATATAGGTGAGGTGGTGGAGGTGAGGCTTATGTCTCTTAATTGTATGGGTGATTTGAACATGCTTGCTAGGTGTTTGATGGAATAGCTATGAGAGATGGTGTTGGTGCTTTGAATATGCTTGCTAGGTGTTTGAGGGAAGTACTGTGAGAGGTAGTGTTGGGTTAAACATTAGAGTCAAAATTGGTTTTTCGAAAGATTTATTTGCTAACGATTTACTCAAAACCTTAGGGAGGAAAATGTAATTTCCAAAACCTCAGGGGTACTAGTGCAATGGCAACAAGCCTTAGGGGAGTTCATTGTAATTTACCCAAAAACTTAATTCATGTGAATACACATTGGTCATTTGTTAATGTACATTTGTGGGGAAAAAACTCATGCATGCAAGAAACATTCTCATAGTCAATAAAAAAGGCAAGTATGGTATATCATCAAACTTGTTCTATCTAGTTCATTTTAATTATATATCATGGGGCCAAGTTGGTGTCTTGAAAAATTAATGAATGGTTGGTTGGAAGGTATTTGCTTACTAAGTATTTGGTATTGTATCATATATATGATCCATCTTTCATACTCATAATTAAACGTCTAAATTCTAAATTCAGAAGAGAATGAAAGTTCTTGTATTGCTTTGTATCTTTGTTAGGTATTATAGGCGAAGCACAGGGAGACATGAACAAAGCTCTGGCTGCTTTTATTAATGCTCTTTTACTGGAACCGAGTCATGTGCCCAGCAAGATCTTGATTGGTGGAGTATTGTCAAAGATGGGGTCAAAGGTATCACCAGTGGCAAGATGCTTACTCTCAGATGCATTGAAGATAGAACCTACGAATCGCATGGCTTGGTATTACTTGGGATTGGTTCACAGGGATGATGGACGAATAAGCGATGCAATAGATTGCTTCCAGGCTGCCTCGATGCTCGAAGAATCTGATCCAATTGAAAGCTTCTGCTCTATTTTTTGACTTATCGATCAATAAAAGGTTCAAACCGTCAGTTCTGTTATCATTCATTCTCCATCTTAGTCCTTGTAGATCAATACTTGTAGAGGGTTTCGAGGATGCAGTACATTTGCTAGTTTGAAAATTGTTTTTATTTTTTTGTTGCATATTTATCCTGTGACAATAAAATACAATACAATAAGAAAGCAGAAAAAAGAGGAAACTAAAATTTGAGATTGATGTAGAATATAATTAGAAAACATGGTTTAGTGGATCTATGTTATCGATTTTGAATTTTTGATTATAGGATGGATGCATTATTTGCAAGTTATCGGAGTTTATAACAATGTATCTTGCCTTGTTGCTCTCTTTGTAATGTTTGTTGTTCAACTTGAGTAATTATTTTTCAGTTATTGTTAACTGTTTATTTATGATGAACGTATCTTAGAGTTTCACGTGGGTAAATGAAGTTTTGGAATGACGGTTGAAAAACATTGCGAGATTCCAATTTAATGACTTGTGTTATGATGCGATGATTGTGATAGCCAAGTAAACAAAGAAAGCATGCAATTTTCAGATGACTGAAAAAAAAGAACATAATAATGTGTTTATTTGACAAGCATTTACTAATTTGAAAAAGTAAATGATTATATGTTAAGAGATCTCGCATAATGTCCAACTAAAATATCTATTGTTAGATCAAAGCATGATCATTGTTGAAGATGTATGTTAGTGTATATAATATATTAGCTGTTAGTGTTAGCTTTAATGATGTAACTTTAATAATGTTGTTTCCTGCTTTATTCCTTTCTTCTTTCGGTCACTTTCGGCTTTTTGTTTATCCTCTCTTCTATAAAGGAGACCTATTTGATTATTCACAAATACATTAATTCAATACACAATTTATTCTCTCTCTCTTTACCAACTATTGTTTCATGGTATTAGAGCCCCGTTCTACACTTCTGGCCTTTTCTGTTTTTGGTGCTTAGTCCCGTACACAGTGGCACTACACCAAACTGCTCGGAATCACCTCATGATCCCGTCACTAGAAACGCCATCACATGCCGTCACGTGCCACTTTCGTTCTCGATGTGTCTCAGCTTCTACCGCCACTCTCATACGTGCCCTCATGTGCCCCTCCGTTGCTTGCTCACATCAGCATCTGACGTTAGCCCTGTGCTCGCGTGCACCGCGTCTACTATTCTGTGTCGCACGTGCCCCGTTTTGCTATTATGCACCTGCGTGCGCCGCTCTGCTCTTGTGCGCCGCGCGTGCGCCGTTCTGCTACGGTGCGCCGCACGCCCTTCCTGCTATTGTGCGCCACACCTCAGGCTGCTATTGTGCGCCGCTAACATCATTCCACCCCCTACTGACGTCATCTCTGCACAGCAACCCCTTTCCCAGCTATTTTCGGCCTTCCGGACTCATTTGTACACTCTGCTTTACCTAATTTTGTTCCTACAGGTCTGTTTCTATTTATTTAGTTCTACTCAGCTATTATTATGGATCGCCATGATGCCTTCCATCCAATTTTTGTTCTTCTTAATGGTTCTAATTATGTTCTGTAGGCCCAAGCTATGTCTTCCTTCCTCAAAGGTAAGAAACTCTGGCGCATTATCACCGGGGATGTGACCCAACCGGTGAAAGAGGTCGATGAAACTGCTGCTACATATGAAGACCGACTCGAAGATTGGGACAGTAAGAACTACCAGATCATTACTTGGCTTCGGAATACCTCTGTTCCCTCAATTAGTCTTCAGTTTGGTCATTTTCAGCTTGACTCTGTTACCACTCCTGCTAAAGACATTTGGGATTTTTTGAAAGAACGATACCAGACACCGATCTTGCTCATCAGTATCAACTTCAGAGTCAACTTCATCGCATGCTCCAAGAATCCAGTCAGCCTATTAATGATTTTCTTTCTTAGATGTATTCTGTCTGGGACCAGCTTGCTCTCTCAATCAGCAGCGGTTGGTTCAATTTCTCATGGCTCTCACTCCCTATTTTGAGCCCGTGCGTGCATCTCTTTTTCATCGTCTTCCGTTGCCCACTCTTGAACAGGCTATTTCTGAGTTGTTATCTGAGGAGACTCGTCTTGGCACTCTCTAGACTCATCATATGGACTCTGTTCTTGCCACTCCTCAGACACGGCCCTCACCAACGCAGCGGTCCACAGCCTGCATCTATTGTCAGAATCGAGGCCTTCCTTCTACTCATTTTCTAGTTCATTGCCCTGTCAGATCTTGCCGATGCTGCAACAAACTTGGTCTTGGCCATCTGCAGTAGGATTGTTTTCGCAATCCATCCCGGTCATCTTCCATTGGCCCCTCCTCTAGCGATGGCTCTTCTAGGGGGAGCTCTTATTGTCTCGGGAATTAGTCTTTGCCTACTCATCACACTGTTGCTGCTGCCTCTGAGGATTTCTTTGAGTCTCCTGCTCCGTCTGTCCCTATTTTTTCTCAAACTGATGTTGAGGCCATGTTCAAACTGCTTCTCTCCACCTCTGGTACACCTCCTCCTATTACTTTGTCTGTGACTCCAGGTAACTCTTCTTGGTATTTTGACTCCGCCTATTGAAATCATATGACTTCCAACTCTACTATATTCTCTTCCATCTCTCCCTCTACTCCTATTCCCTCCATTCATACTGCTGATGGTTCTCTCATGTCTGTCAGTCATGTTGGTTCTGTTTCCACATCTCATTTATCTCTTGGTTCTGTTTCCACATCTCATTTATCTCTACCTCAAGTTTATCATATCCCTGCTCTCACCTTAAATCTTATCTCTATTGGTCAATTATGTGAACTTGCTCTAACTGTTGCATTTTCTGCTAATGGTTGTTTGGTGCAGGACCCTCAGACGGGACAGACTATTGGGGTCGGACGTAAGCATGGACGTCTCTATGAATTCATTCACCTTCATGTTCCTGACTCCCCACAGATAGCTGCTCCTGTATCTGCTTCCTCTTTGTCTCCTTTTCATCTTTGGCATTGTCGCTTAGGGCATATTTCTGTTAATCGGTTAAAGTCTTTTGTTTCTAGTGGTCAATTGGGTCATGTACTTTCAGATACTTTTGATTGTTTACCCTGTCAACTTGCAAAACAACCTGCTTTATCATTTAATAAAAGTACTGTTTCCCATGCACCTTTTGATCTCATACATTCAGATATTTTGGGCCCATCCCTTACTACTACCATGGGAGGATCTCGTTTTTTCGTTGTTTTTATTGATGATTTTTCTCGGTTTACTTGGTTTTTTCTCATGAAAAATCGATCTGAACTTAAACGCCTTTATTATAGCTTTACCAAAATGGTCCACACCCAATTTTTAAAGACTATTAAAATTTTTCTCTCTGACAATGCTATGGAATATCGAGATACAGATTTCCGTTCCTTTCTTCAGAGTCATGGTACTCAGCCTCATCGTTCCTGTGCTGGCACATCCCAACAGAATGGACGTGCTGAACGCAAACATCGGCATATTCTTGATACTACTCGCGCTCTCATTCTCTCTTCTTCTTGCCCTGAAAATTTTTGGGGGGAAGCTGCCCTTACTACTGTGCATACTATCAATTGTGTTCCTACCCCTATCATCAATAATCAAACTCCCTTTGAACGTTTACATGGCACTCACCCTCCATATGCCAATCTTCGAGTTTTTAGCTCTGCCTGCTTTGTTCTGCTTCAATCCCATGAACGTACCAAGCTTGAACCTCATTCTCATCTTTGCTGCTTTCTTGGGTATGGGATTGAACATAAAGGCTTTCACTGTTGGGATTCTCTCTCTAAACGTCTTCGTATCCCTCGACATGTGATTTTCTAGGAGCGCAAAATGTTTTCCTCCCTATGCTCCTTTTACTTACTCGCACTTTCCACTTCCGTCATGTTTACTAATCCTTCTATAGATCTCTTCTCTAACGAATTCGATGCAGGTTCCTCTTTCATCAAGACGCCTTTGTTGACCCTTGATCCCATCCAGACTGCTCTCCCTGAGGGTCCACCTCTCAATGCGTCTGCTAGCCCGTCTCCTCCTTCTCTACCAGCCCTTCCCCCTGCAGATAATCCCACAGGTCGACCACATCAGGTAACTCAACCACCTATTCATCTTCGTGATTATATTGTTGGGTCTACTGCCTTCCCTACTTATGAACCTACCTCCTATCATGCGGCTTATACTAATCCTCTTTGGCAGCAAGCTATGAGTGATGAACTCCATGCTTTGGCCAACACTCATACTTGGGATGTTGTTGATCTTCCTCTTGGCAAGACGGCAATTGGCTGCAAATGGGTCTACAAAATCAAGACCTATTCTGATGGCTCTATTGAGCATTACAAAGCCCGTCTTGTTGCAAAGGGTTTCAACCAGGAATATGACATTGATTATGAGGAGACCTTCTCCCCTGTTGCTCGGCTTACCTTTGTTCGCAGTTTGCTTGCTGTTGCTGCTGCTCACCACTGGGAGCTTTTTCAGATGGATGTCAAAAATGATTTCCTTAATGGTAATCTTCTTGAGGAGGTTTACATGCAATCTCCCCCTGGGTCTACTTATCCAGCTCATAAGGTTTGCAAACTACAGTGTGCCCTCTATGGTCTCAAGCAAGCCCCCTGAGCTCGGTTTGCTAAGTTCAGTTCCATCATTCATGACTTCGGGTTCACCTCTAGCTCCTATGACTCTGCTTTATTTGTTCGGACTACTACTCATGGTACCTGTAACGCCCGTATCCTTTAATCCTTTGGAAAGTGTGTTTAATATCCTTATTTTTATCTTGGGAGTCTTTGGAGTTGTTGTCTATTGGTTTTGAAGGAGTACAATCTGATTTAAACTCGTTGGGTTTGTTCGTTCGCATTTGTTATTGTCAAAAGTTCCTTGGAAAAAGGGTCGACCCTCCTGCCCAAAGGGTTGCCCCCTGCGTGTTTTTTTTTTCTTCTAGATTTTGGGGCTGGTTTGGGTCCTACCTTTTGGGGATTTTCGGGCCTATTATTTTATTAACCTTAGGGCTACTTTTCTATTACTATAAATAGGCTCCAAACGTGGTTTCATTTCACTTTTGTCCTCTTTCCTCTCTCTCAACCGTGAGTTCTCCTCTCTCTCTCTCTAAACTCAAGTTTTGGCACTAAGATCACTAGATCTACTCATCTAGAGTGATTTTGTCACCATGGTCCTTTGAAAAAAAGTGTAGATCTTGTCAAGGGCATCATTTTGGTTCGAAGAGTTCGTGGTTTCGTCGCCATTGATGTTTGGGTTGTCATCTCTTGGCTTTAAGAGGAAGGGGTTTCTAGTTCTTTTTTAATACCTTCGGTTATGGATAGATTTGTGGTATTTTCTTT